GGTCGCCGGATGCTGGCGGAAGCTTACCATCAGATAGGGCTGAGAGGTTTCATGGAATACCTGGCATAGCATGTGCTAGTAGTTCCCATTCGGTCGCCGGATGCTGGCGGAAGCTTGCCATCAGATAGGGCTGAGAGGTTTCATGGAATACCTGGCATAGCATGTGCTAGTAGTTCCCATTCGGTCGGCGGATGCTGGCGCATGCTTGCCTTCAGATCGCGATGGGAATTATTATGCAATGTCTGGGGGGCCATTTGTTTGTCATTCCGATTCGGTCGGGGGATTCTGGCGGAAGTTGCCCTAACAAGCGTTCACTGCTAGCGCATGGCTTATACCCCTCTTGATGTGCGAAGTGAAGTGGTGAGGGGCACCACCAGCGGAGCAGCATCGCATGTTTCAGCACTTCCTTAGCACATGTTGCCTCGAGGCATTGTATGTCATGCGGTTTCCAGATACGTTTGCAGAGGGTTCCCAAAGGGCGCCCTCCTAAGGAGCGGACGCTCGAGGATGTCTTGGAGGCGCACCGCTGGAAGCTCAGGAAGAGACGCGAGCGATATGCTCGCAGGCGCGTGCTGGAGGCTAGTGTCGAGGCAGTCGGTACTGGATCTCAGGAGGGAGCGCAATTATCGTCCTGGCCGCGGCGTCGCTGTGCACGCCCGCGGCGGGGGCTGCACGAAGGCACAGCGTGTGCGCGCGCAGCACCCGGCGGATGCGTCGGAGGGGACAGGTGCGCCTCGTGCGACGGTGGCTTCGAGCTCATATCACGGCAGGGGTGCGGGTTCACATGGGGCACGCGAGACTGTAGTGAGCTCTCGCGGGCACCATCACGCAGGTGAGGCGGAAGCGATGTGGGAGGAGGCGTCTCCCGATCGCTGCTCTGACGAATGCGACGACACAAACTTGGTTGATGCATCCCCAGGGCGTCCTGCTCCCCCGTGAGGACTTTTCACAACCAACGAGGAAACTACATGACGTGCTGCTGCTGCTGCCGCGCATGCAGCGTGCGAGTAGCATGAGTGGTGTCGCTCATGTGCACGCGCGTGCGCACTATACTTCCTCTTCCTTGCTCTCCCCCTCCTCTTCCTTGCTCTCCTCCTTCCCCTCCCTTTGGCCCGTTCGCTTTCCTACTTCATCCTTCCGTCTTCTTGTCTCTCTCGTCCTTCCTCCTTCTCCATTAATAATCCTCCCTCCTCTCGCCTTCCTCTTGTCTCCCCCTCCGTCTTCCCTCGTCCATGCTCTCCCCTTCCTCCCTTGAATGCTTTGAACGGCAAAGGGGCCGTGAGTAGTGGACATGATGTGCGCGTTCAAGGCCGCGGTGGACAAAGGAACCACGCGGACCCCCCTTGACCGCAATCTTCCCAAAGACGCGCAATGCGCCAAAGCCGAGGTCCCGAGGCGTGACGTTGACCGGCTACTGCCTGAATTCGAACTGAAATACAGCCGTTCCAAAGCCGGATAACACTTGCTACGTGCGCGTGCCCTACAAGTTCTTTTTGTCGGAGGGCGACATCTGGGCAGCAGGGATCGACATCATGAAGTGGGGCGAGAGATTGGCGGTGTTCTTGCAGGGCCTGTGCTATAAGAGCGAGGCCGTTTTCCAGTTGCAGCTGGCGCCGTGGAAACTCGGCGAAGGTGAATTTCAAGATCGGGCGCGGAGGGGATGACAAGGACATGGAAGCCACCCTGCAGAGACACATCGTCGGGGACGCGAATGCCCACGACTTGGCTTGCGGCTTTTTCTACGACCGGTCCGAGCGGCGAAAGACTGGCGGGGCAGCGGGGAACAAGCCTAACACCCGCACGCAGGAGTGCGACGCTAAAGCCCAGATGGTCGCTGGCGCTGGGAAGCGGTTCAGTGTCGGAGAGGAGCTGTTGCGCCGCGCCACCTGCGGGTTCGCCGCGCAGACGACCTTCGGCGAGCGCAAGACACCTGCCCGTCGGCCAGGCCACTGCATTCCTGACCCATGCGGGCGCTCGTTGTCCCGAGGTGTCGGTGGCCAAAGGTGCACTCGCGAGGCACGGGCGGTCGCGCTTCCAGAGTGCATCGAGAGCGACGCTCCGCGTTACCACCCACGCCTTGTCATGAAGGCCCTGCGGGCGCGCGGCCTCAGGAAAGACATACCTTACGAGCACCTCCCGCTAGGCCGCAGACATCATCCCCGCGGGTGGTGACCGCCGAAACTCTTCGGGCAGCGCGCGGGGAGCCCCCACCCTGGCGATCTCTCGATGAAGAGGGGCTTGGAGTAACAGGAGGAAGACGCGGACGAGGAGGGCGAGAAGGAGAGGGTGGTGGACAATGGGGATGAGCAGGAGGAGGAAGAGGAGGAGGAGGAGGAGGAGGAGGAGGAGGAGGAGGAGGACCACGAGCACGAGCACCGGCGGACGAGGCGAGGACGCCTCCCCCCCCTCCTGCCCCCTGGCGGCGGCGGCGGCCCCTTCGAGTCGGTGGTGGCGTGTGCGGTGTCCGCGAGCTTCGCCTTCTTGGCGGCCTCCTCGGGGCCTCCCGCCGGCGGGGGGGGCGCCCGAGAGGGGGGGGGGGTCGAGGGGCTTGGGCGTCGCTTGATTGGAGGGGGGGACGAGAAGTGGAGGGCGCGGGGGCTGGTGCACCCTTCGTGCCCTTTCTGGGGGAGATGGGGGGAGGAGGCGACGAGGCGTGCCCCCTTCGTGCCCCTCTTGGGCCCCAGGGGGGCCGCTTGAAGCCCCCGGAGGTGCGCCCCTTCCCCCCCCCCCGCGCATCGCCCCCCCAGTGCGCAACGCCCGAGGGGCGGCGCGGCCAAAGCGAGCCGGGGGCTCGTCGGGCGCGACGCGGCAAGGCGAGCGCGGAGGCCGCCGCGACAGGGCGGACAGGGGAAGCCTACGCACGCCCGAGGAATCGCCGGTCGCCTCCGCACACGCGCATGCGCCAGGTGCGCGAGGGACATTGCATAGGGGGGGAAGCCAAGTGGAAGGACAGGAGGTGGAACCGGCTGGAAACTGCCAGCTTCTCCACCGAGGGGAAATGGGGGAGGAGGAGGGGGGGATGAATGGGAGCATATGGAGGAGCACGGCCGTACATCCGCCCGTGCGCCCTCTCCCTCCTCTGCCTCCTCCTCCCCCTCCTCCTCCGCCTCCTTCTCCTCCTCTTTCCCCTCCTCGTCCTTCCCCTCCTCCTCCTCCTCCTTCTCCTCCTCCTCCTCCTCTTCCTCCTCCTTTCCTCCTCCTCTTCCTCCTTCTCCTCCCCCTCTTCCTCCCCCTCTGATCCTGCCAATATTATGTTGAACTCCTCTGCCTCATCCTTGCCCCCTCTCGCTCTACTCCTCTGGGCATGCCTTCCTCCGCCTCCTCTTCCACCTCCCTCCCCCTCCTCGTCATCCTTGTTCATCCACCTCCTGCTCCCCCTTAATTATCCCGTCGTCCTCCGCTCCTCTCCTCTTTCCTCTCGTCCTCCTGCTCCTTCTCCCCTCTCCTCATCCTTAAGGCACCACCCCTCCTCCAACTCCCCCTCCACTCCTCCTCCTCCTCCTCCTCCTCCTCCTCCTCCTCCTCCTGGCGCTCCTTCTCATCCGCCTTCTGCTTTCCCTTATTATTCCGTGGTCCTGTGCCCCACTCCTTCCTCCTCCTGCTCTCCTCCTCCTTCTCCCCAAGATACGATCCCTCCTCTTCCTCCTCTTCCTCTTCCGTTTCCTCTATCCTCCTTCCACCTCTCCCTCCCTAGCAAGGCTTGCCCTTCAAGACCGCCCCAGCGGCGCTCTCACGTGCCGAGGCTGGCTCTCGCAGGACCCCAGGAAGCTTAACGCACTCATGCGACAAGCTGCTGCATCGAACGAACGAACGAACGCGCCGAGTCCGCCGGCCAGTCGGCCAACAGGCCCCTTGGGGGCAGCGCGGGTGGGCCAGGGCCCGCTTATTGCACTTGCTGGAAGAACGCGCGTGTCCCTTGCAGAGTCGGAGTCGGAGCTGGAGTCGGAGAGATGGGAAGTGACCAAGAGTCGGACAAAATAACAAGAGCTGGAGTCGGCACCTGCAGGATACCTTTCAACCATTATGCCAACATAAACAATCAAGATCGTGAGCCGGAGTCGACAAAAAACGGGAGCTGGAAACGGAGCCCGGTTCGGGGAGGCGGGACGGGAGCTGGAGTCGGAGAGGCGGGAGCTGGAGTTGGAGCCAGTGTTGGACCAGTGTTGGTACCCGTGCGCCGTACCGCGGTGCGGCGATCAGCTGTTCGGCCATGGGCCCCCCCACCGGGGCAAGTGAATACCGCTCGCTCCATGGCGAACCAGGTTCGGTGGTAACTCATGGGAGCCTCCCGTACCGTCTTGTCGGCTCTTGCGAATCGACGCTAGATCGACGCTAATCGACGCTGCACTGGCGCTCGTCCACGCTAGATCGACGCTAGCCGACGCTACATCGGCGCTATATGATCCACTCCAAACGCTAATCGACGATAGCCGACGCTAAAGACGGGACTGCGAAGGTATATGAGGCCCCCATGATTTGCTACCGAAAACAAAGGCCCTCGGAAGCGTGCTGCAAGGCCGTAGAGTTAGGTCGGGCATGTCCCCCCATAGGCGTTTTTTTGATGAAAAGTGGAACAAACAGCAAATGTAGAACAAAAACAAAAAAATACTCAGAACAATCGCCCACGGACTTTTTAATACCATTTTTGACTACTCCTCCTGTAGAGGGACACGCCCGACTTAACCGTAGGGTGGAGGCGAGGTCGTTCGCCACCTCCCGAATGCTGGGCCCAGGGCCCCCGCGGCCCACGCCCAGGACACAGGCGACCAATCAAGGTCCGCGAAAGGCCCACCAAATTTTCAGACCCTTGGCAAAAAACACGGGTCGAAGATTATGTTGTACCCATCCTACTTAAGGACCGCATCCCAGAAATAATGTCGAACACGACGGACAAAAATCGAAACAGTGTCTGCCCGACACGCTAGCGAAGAGCCCGACACGAGAAGCCCCTTCAATTTGGGTACCTCCCTGGTGCTCGAACTTCTTTCGTGTGATCGAGGCTGAAGTAGGCCAGAACATCATAAGTCGAAGAATCAACCCGGATCCCGGGGAGGCAGAAAAGTTTATACCCTCGGGAAGCGCAGCAGTCACACACACGCGCACACACGTACACGCCCTTTTTTTCGTCGGCGGCGAGGCAGAGGCGATCCGCACCAGCGTGGGGCGAATCGGGGGCACTGATCGGCGAATTGTCCCGCGTGCAAGAGGGAGAGAGAGAGAGAGAGAGAGAGAGAGAGAGAGAAAAACAAAAAAAAGAGACAGAAAAAAGAGAGAAGACGAGGTCGGCCGCGCGGGAAGAGAAGGAAGCAGGCGCCCAGACGTGGCAGCGCTCCGCGGTGCGCGGGCCGGAGCGGCCAGCCAGGGCAGCGGGGACCGCGGCAGCGCCGGGGCCGCGGCCAGGGCGCACCCGCGGGCGATGCCCGGGCGCAGACCTGCGCATCAGCTGCTCCAGGGCTCGGTTGGCCTCCTTTCCCTCCTCCTCCTCCTCCTCCTCCTCCTCCTCCTCCTCCTCCTCCTCCTCCTCCTCTCCTCCTCCTCCTCCTCCTCCCCCTCCTCCTCCTACCTCCCTCGGCCCTCGAGGGCCGCCAGCAAGGCTGGGCGGGCGCTCTCGCGCAGGCCCCGCCCCCCGACCCTTGGAAGGCACGTGGCACCTCGGGCCGGCGCCGCCTGGCGGCACTCGCGCTCTCTGCGGCTCGCGGGGGCGGGCGCTCGGCGGACACTGCGACGGCCGACCTGCGCCGCAGACCCCGACCGGCCGACCTCTGGAAGCGCGCGCCTGGCGCCCCCCCGAAAGAAGGAAGCGCCTGTTGTTGTTGTGTTGTTGTCTCTTGGTGCCTGGGCCCGGGATCGGCGACGCCACGGCGGGACGCCGACGCGGCACGCGGCGTGCAGGTCATCCGCGGGCGTGCGCACGGTGGCGGCACGTAGCACCCCGCAGGTGCGGATAAGGGTGAGGGGGCGGGCGCGGGGTGGGTCGCGGCTGGGTCGCGGGGTGGGTCGCGGGGTGGGTCGCGGGGTGGGTCGCGGCGGGATTGCGGGCGAGGACGTCAACAACAACAACAACAACAACAACAACAACAACAACAACAACAATCATGTTAAGACTGTTCGCTCTGACTGGCACGCGTGTCTGGTATTCCGTATATAACAACAACAACGATCATCTTAAAACTGCTCGCTCCTATCTGCTCACGTGCCGACGATACGTATATCCCAAAGCCTCGGTACCCGCCCTCGTCGTCTTCGATCGTATCCCCTCGAGGGCATATCTGCCTTACCTGCCACGTGTACTTAGTCCAGCCCCTAAAACAAGGGAAGAGAGGACGGGTGGAAGGGGAGGGAGAAGAATGGAGCACGAGAGAAATTAGCAGGAGGGGGCAAGGAGCAGAAAACAAGAGGTAGAACCAGACGGGCAGATCGGGTGGGCAGACCCATAGCGGGCAGGTCGGGAAGGCGGGCCCAGGCGACGAGGTCGAGCAGGCGGGTTGCTGAAGCGTGGGTCCTGCGTGAAACGCGAGGAGGTCTCGAACGATAGCGCGATTCCCAAGCAAATCGTGAGAAAAGCCAGCGTGGGCCACGAATGGCATAAAATCCGAGGCCACAGAGGGCAGCGACGGGGCCGCTGAGGGCAGCACCGGGGCCACGAAGGGCAGCGAGGGCGCCACAAAGGACGACAGCGGGGCCACGAAGGGCATGCATATGGGGCCACGACGGGCGCCAGCGAGCGGAGGCCACGAAGGGCATTCGTATACGGGGCCATAAATGGCGACAGCGGGGACATTGAGGGCAGCAAAGGGCCCACGAAGGGCAGCGAGGGGACCACGAAGGGCGACAGCGGGGCTACGAAGGGCATGCGTATGGGGCCACGACGGGCGCGTGCGAGCGGGGGCCACGAAGGGCATAGAATGCGGGGCCACACAGGGCAGCAACGGGGCCACGAAGGGCAGCGAGCGAAGGCGACCGCGGAACCAGTACGGGCAGCGAGGGGCATCGAAGGCGGGCGAAGGGCAGCGAACAGCGACTGCAATCATTAACGGGCTGGTCGGGCGGGCAGGCCCCGACGGGCGGGTCGAGCGGGCGGGTCGTGAAAGCGTGAATCCTGCTAGAAACCGCCAGGCAATATGTAGCGGGATCGCGATTTCTGAGTGTCGTGGACCGGCATATGAACGATTTGTAGGGAAATCTCAGGCGAAGCGATTCGGTGGTAAGTTGCGAAGAAATTCCAAGCGAGAGCGCGATTCTGCAATAGATTGTGGAGAGGTATCAGACGGGAGCCGTTGTTGTCGTTGTTTTTGATGTTGTTGTAAGACGGGGGCCAACGACACAGTTTGACCCTCAAGACCTTCCCTGATAAAAAAAGATGCGAGCCCCGGGAGGGGCACTTCAAACGAAAAAACAATGTGCACCGAGCGGGGGGGATCAACAATAATTGTCCTTCAGAATTGGGAGTACAACACCAACAACGACGACGACAACAACAACAACAACACCACCAACAGC